GTAAAATTGAATACAATACTATTAATCATATAAAATACTTGGCGTAAAAATACAATAAATTAGATCATATAAAACAGAAGTTATAGTATAAAACAAGAATAAAATTCTTAGATTGATGTTTTATATCATCGAATCAGTTGGTGGTTTTGTAATTTTGTTGCGTTCCCACGAACAAATTGGAATATTCTATATTTTGTGTATATAAAATTGTATAGGAGGCTCGTGATGTAGATGTAGTAAATTAATGTTAATCTGAAAATGACATGAAAGTAATAGTAATAAATTTTGTTATAATCAACAATTGATTTTGGTATTGAAGTTATAGTGTATATGAGCACTTATTGTTTAGTCGGTGCCTCATCTCACAAAGTATTGTCTGTTCTGTAGGGAATGTAAGATTATAGTCAATGCAAGGGAGGGAGGGGGGAGGTAAAGATAAGGTGTATGTGGAAGTGGTGGTAGGGGGGGAAGGGGGTATAACTGTAAATTATGTTTTGTATGTATCAATTATTACATCATATATAGGATTAAACATTTCGGTAAAATTATCATTCAGTTGCAAATTTAGTTTGCTGATTTTGTAAATGTGAAATCTTTCATAAGTATCCAAGGTTTGGCCTTTCTTGCTGATATATAGAACTTCTAATGTTATGTCTATTGTAGTATATTCATGTGTGGTGTCCAATATATGCTGAGCAAATTTGGAGCTTTGTCCATTATTTTTCGTGTCTCATATGTGTTCTTTGAATCTGACTTTAAAGGTACGTCTGGTCTGTCCTATATATTTTAATGGATAGTCACAACATTGTAGTTGGTGAACCCCACTACGATGATACATATAATATTTGTCATCATTTATTTTCAGCAGGTTTTATATTGTTTTTTGTCTTATATGAGATACCAACTTCAGTATTCTTGAAAAGTTTAGTAATAGATCTGATTTCATGGCCAAAATGGGTAAAGGTGATCCATTTATTTTTCAGCATAGTATTTTTTGTGGAGGGTTTTTGTGCTAGTTGTATGGTATTTAGTGGGTAGTTGTTATTATTTAGAATAGTTCTAACAATGTTTTCTTCTATGTTTTATTGTTATGCGAAAGGGGATATTGATTCAATCGATTAATGAGAAAGTGTTTACCCTGTTGAGCCATAGCAATGGCTGTACATGTCATGTCATCATCATCAGTAATCTGTCAAGATGACAGGTCCACAGTCTCTTCCAAAACAATTCCTCCACTTAATGCGATCTAGAGCTTTCTCCTTCAAATGACAGTATCCTCTTCTGTCCCCAAGGTCATCCAGCATCTTCTTACGTCTTCTTCCTCGTCTTCTTGTCACTTCTATCCGCCCATCTATCTTTCCTTCAATAACTTCTTTTAGAAGGCAGTTTCTGCGTAAAACATGACCAATCCAATTAGCCTTCCGTTTTCTTATTTCATGTAGGATATTCCTCTGCTCACTGACTCTAATTAACACTTCTTCATTTCTCACATAATCGGTCCAACTGATCTTCTCCATTCTTCTCCAACACCACATTTCGAAACTTTCCAGATGTTTCTGATCTACTGCCCTAAGTGTCCATGTTTCAGCCCCATACAGAGCTATGCTCCAAATGTAGCATTTCACTAGTTTCTTCCTCAAATTTAAGTCCAATTTGCTGGTAAAAAGATTCTTCTTCTTGCTAAATGCAGCTTTTGCCATGGCAATCCTGGATTTAATTTCACAAGTACACCTTCCATCATCTGTTAACAAGCTACCCAAATATTTAAAACATTTCACATTCTCCACTTGTTTTTGGTCTATCTTTATTGTGACTGGGGTTGGTTGTCTCGAAATTTTCATTACTTTTGTTTTCTCCACATTCATTTCCATGCCATAGCACCTTCCAATTTCAATTAGTCTATCAATCATGCCCTGTAGCACAGTTTCTTCCTTAGCCATTAACACAAGGTCATCTGCATATTTCACAGTTTGAATAATTTGCCCTCCTACTTTGAAGTCACCGAGCCCATCCAGAGCTTCCTTGGTAAGGCATTCGCTGTACAAGTTGAACAGAATTGGTGATAAACAGCATCCTTGTCGAACTCCTCTTCCAATCTGCACACTTCCTGTCTCCCCCCTGTCCAGTCGTACTCTAACTTTCTGATCCATGTACAATTTGCTAATCAATCTTCTTTCATGCCAATCGATACCTGTTTCTTTCAGGATCTGCATTAATTTGGTCCAGTTTACCCGGTCAAATGCCTTCTGCCAGTCTATGAAGCAAACACACAGTTCTTCATCTATCTCCAAAGTTCGTTCCGCTATAATTCTCATCATCCCAATTGCATCCCTGGTTCCTTTTCCTCTTCTAAATCCAAACTGATCTTCTCCAAGTACATCCTCTATTTTCCTTTCAATTCTTCTTTTAAGTATCTTTGCTATTATCTTTGCTGTATGTGCAATAAGACTTATTGTGCGATGGTCGCTGCATTTTGTAGCTTTTGTCTTTTTCTTTAAGGCAATCATTGTAACTTCTGTAAAGTCCTTGGGCCACTCTCCACTTTCATATATGGTGTTCATTAGTTTTGTCAGTGTTTTCAAACCACCTTCTCCCAGTAACTTGAGCACATCTCCAGGTACATCATCATCTCCTGTAGCCTTTCCCTTCCTCATTTCCTTGATAGCTTTTTCCACCTCACTTTGTAAAATATATGGTCCTTTCTCGTCTGTATCTACTTCTTCTTCCGGTTCAACTTCTAAGGTTTCTGGCCGATTAGGTCGATCATATAGTTCTGAAATATAATTTTCCCAAATTTTCAGCACTTGCCTCTGATCTACTATTCTATTCCCCTGGGAGTCTTCGATGCCAACATTTTGAATCCCATGATTCTCTTTCCATCCTAGTTCTTTTGTCTTCATGTACATCAAATCATAACGGCCTGTTCTTTGAAATTCCATAATCTCATTACATATCTTCTCAAGATATTCCTTTTTGGCCCTGTCCGTGGCTCTTTTCAATTCATTCCTCAGTCTCCTGTATTTCCTCCTGCCTTCTTCATTGTTGACATTCTTCCATTTCCTTCGCTCCTCCATTTTACTCATCATCTCCTGTGTAACCCATGGTTTTCTTGCTATCTTCTCAACTTTACCTACCAAATCACTGATAGTATCTAACATGCATTCTTTTATATCGTTCCACTGCGCTTCAGCATTTCCGCTTTCACCTTCAATTGCACCGAGTTTCTCTTCTAGAGTCTCTTGCACGCTTTGTCTTTGAGCATATAACTTCTCCAAATCCCATCTGGGTCTGCGCTTTCGAAATCCTATAATTTTCTTCAACCTGGTTCGGAACTTGGCAACCAGCAAGTTGTGGTCAGAGTCAATGTCTGCCCCAGGAAGCGTCTTCACATCCTTCACACTGTTTCTGAATCGATGTTTCACAAGGATGTAGTCCAGCTGATGCCTCTTCCAATCCCCAGGTGCCTTCCATGTGTAAATTCTTCTCTTTGGCTTCTTGAACCAAGTGTTGGTAACAATCAATCCATTTCGTTCACAAAAGTCAATAAGCATTTGACCTCTGTGATTCCGTCTTCCTAGTCCATGTGATCCAACAATATTCTGATATGGTTCATCTCCAACAATGCTGTTCCAGTCTCCCAATATGATGCTGTTTGTGTCTCCTCTTCCATCTTCCTGAAGAATTTCTTCAATTGTGTCATACACTTTTTCCACTTCATCATCTTCATACTCTGATGTTGGCATGTACACTTGCATAATCAGTATATCTACCGGTTCCGCCTTTAACTTCAGAGCAATAATTCTGTCATTACAAGCAATCTTCTTAACAACACTCCTCACTACACTTTTATGCACCATTATTGCCACACCTCTTTCAGCCCGTTCACCTCCGGAATAATACACCGTATAATCACCACTTCTTATTTTGCCTTGTCCTTTCCATCGCACTTCGCTAACACCTAGAACAGACACCTCATTCTTCTCCATTTCCGTTTTCAAATTCTCCAATTTTCCTGCTTGATTCAAGGTCCTGACATTCCATGTTCCAATCTTGTATCCATGCTGTTTCTTCTTATCTTCGCACTTTTTCTTGTTGTAATGCCTGCATGACATTTCCTCTAGAAACACTCCCCCCCCCGGAGATCCGATTGGGGGAGTAGTTTACCTCTGGATTGTTTTGCCTCCAGAGGAAACATCTTGCATATATGGTGTCTCTGTTTTTGGAAAGAGACTATCCAGGAAAAGTGATAATGTGGTAGTTTTTCCATTTGCTTTCCACACATGTCATGTATGTGATTTTAATTATGTATCTGGACAAATCTATTTCAAAGGGACTGTTTCCACATCCTAGGTTTTTTATCTGTATGATATACGGAAAATAAAGGAAATGAATGAATAAATCTTGTATCATGACAGTTCCTCTGTTGTTGCATGTGTGCATTACCTAGCATTCTGGCTCCACAGGACTTACTTTGAACAAATATGCCACAGTAATTTTGGTTGGAAACTTTACATAAAGAGATCACTTGGGAGACTTAGGAGAATAATATAGTTTTGTTTAAAAACTTGAAATGAAGAGCTTATTTGGGATATCAAGGAGGATAGTTTTAAAGTGGGCCCTAAAGAAATACTGTATGAGGATATGAACTGGATTCAGCTGGATCACAGTGGATTCCAGTGTTGGGCTCTTGTCATTGTGGTATTGAATCCATAAAAAGTGGGGAAATTTTCCTCCAGCTGAGTGACTGTAGGCTTGACATGGAGCTAAACCCTATTATTTGCCCTTTAAAGAATCGTTCAGGAGGTTAATATGCTGTTACTATATGAACGAGTGATAACAAAATTTGGAATGGAACACAGATTTATTTTTTAAAGTTCTAAATGTTTAAGTTCACAGCTGTTCTGAGTTTGACCTAGCCATGCATTTTAACTCTAGATGTTCTTGTGTATCAAGTATTTGTTAGAGGGAAGTTCGCGTGGTGTCTGCATGTCTTATTTCAGTCTTGTGAGATGAGAAGTGAGGACACTGAAAGCTGCATCTTGCTATGACCCTCAGACCCAGACCTAGACAGGCAAGCAGTTGCTACTCTCAGGGGTACCCTGCGTATGTGAAATTGAGTTTTAATTTCAGCTAAGTTTAATTTAAATGTAGGCTGTCATGTTTCAAGAGAAATAAAGTCAACAGTAGTCACATGTTTTAAGAAACTGATCATTTCCAACATATAATTTGGGTGTAGTGGCACCAAGCAACTTGTCAAGTGTCAATTTTATGATAACTATAGTAAAGATTCAGATGTGACAACTATCAGTTTTGGGGAAACAAGAAGGAATAATGAAATTCTTGTATCAGATAGCAGAAACAAGTATATGGATTGATAATGTTTTACATTTTGAAGAACTTAGAGAATGTATAGCCAGATTTCTTAATAAAATGGATACCTTTGAAAAATGATCTCAGTTGAACCTGGAATTCGTTGCATGCTGTGAAAAAGATCATGGAGGATACTGTCAAAAATGTCTGACTCTGTATCATGAGTTGGAAGCCTTAGGCTTGAATTTATTGTATGTCAGTGATAAGGGCTTAGTTCTTTAAGGGTTTGTTTTATAAATGTTTGAAGCCTTGGATAATAATTTCAGTATTATATATAGACAAGAAGTTTTGGGAAGAAGTTGTGATGTCTACATTTCTTTAAATATTTCAGTCTACATTACTGGGTTAATTGGAACTATACATCAATACTTATACTGTTTAGGCATACATTTTATATATTATTTCATCTTGTAGTTAAATTTTGCGGGGAGGTTATGTCCCCCCCTTAACTTTGGTCTCCCATTTACATGTAGTGGTTTTCATCTTAGTTACATTTGTGCAGCTAATTATCTTTCTGTATGCTATGTTCTCATTTATATTCAACCGTTTACTGCATACATATTCTTCTCTCCACCTTTTTGTTTGAGGGCAATTTAGCAGCTTGTGCTTAGCATCCTCCTACTCCAAACATAGGGGGCACCTTCCTCTCTCAAATCCCCTCCTAATCAGCCTTAACATTCTTGCCTTACAGTTTGGGGTGCTGGCAGAGTCAGCAAGCTTATATATAGCTTGACATACGAGTATACACAGCTGTCAACAGATGCAGGAAGTGCTGTCAGTGTTGTC